AGTGTGTCAGCTCTCAATGAAGAAGACCCTGTGCACAACCCAAGGGACATGGCCTGGTCCCACACCATCACCACAATTGTTTGAGCCCATTGATACAGACACCGTGCCCATTTCATCAGCGGTCCAGAGAAAGTGACAAGGCAGATGTGGTAAAATGGTGGCATTTGGACTGTGATGATCTACACACCTGACTCAAATATGAACTATTTTATCAAATAATGTCCTTTGTAGCAAGCGCCCCCACCCCCTCCCAGGACTTCATCCAAGACCATGTGCTGCACTTGGGTCATGTTTATCTTTCATCGCCTTTAATCAGAAATGTTTGATACATACAGACAGGTGATTTGGTAGGGCCACTCTCCACTCGGCCGTCCGAAGCGATCAGCATCAAGCTCAGGATGTGCATTTTTGGCTGGTGTGCCACGGAAGCGAAGCTGTGCCTGTCACCAGTGCCTCCTACTGGGGGCACAATGATGTGCGGCTGTCTTGTGAACAGTGGTTCTACAAGTATTCTAAAAGAAACCGTGACAAAACCCCTCAAGTGTGTACATTTAAAAACACCTTCCTGATTCATAGGGCCAAGAAATCATCTAAAAATGGAAATATTCGCACTGAAAACAAGAATGAATATCCACGTGTGGATATGCACACAGAAACAGCGGAGATACAAGAAAAGAGAATGCAAATGTTTCGTCTTACACGCTTCTGTGTTAATGGGGGTAGGGGGACAGGACACGCCACTGAACAGAAAGCTAAATATCCCATTTGTGAAGTAAGAAAAATAGAAACATAAAGCCCAGAGGCAGAACATGAAAGAAAAGGACTGAGAGGCTTAGGTCCGAAAAGCCCCAGGTCGGTTCTTTGAAGAAACTCAGAGAAACTCTGGCAAAGTGGTGAAGGGGAGGCAAGTGAGGAGGCACGATATTGGGAGGGAAAGCCCAAGTGACATTTCCAGCAGTGGCTGGCTAAGGAGAGTCCTTGAGCTAAGTGCTTTATACTAATAAAAATATACAAACCTAGAACTGGCAAATGCTGGCGCTGGGGGTTGGGGTGGGGAAGGGATCCAGCACACGATACAAATGAGGTCCTCAGTAGTCCTGTTGCCACGAGTTATTCTAATCCTACCACCACGAAAGAAACAGATGTCGGGCCAGGGGCACTGACAAGTTTTCTAGGGAAAGGTCATTTCAGTGGTTTATAAGTTCTTCCAGGTAACAGGACAGGCAACCGGCCCCAACTTATTCATGGGGTTATTAGCATTTCCATGCTGAGATAGTTTATTGTGCCAGCCTGGCCGATAAACACAAGTGGGATTAATTGAAGGGCGGAGAGATAAATGGCTCGGTGAGCATCGCCTTTCTTGTCTCTTGCTCTTTGATCATCGGACCAGTGTGTGGCTGCCTTGCTTTTGTGCCTCAATTTAGAGGCTACACTACCTGTGGGACGCCTAGCCTGTAGACTGTGTCGCTGTAAGTTGAGGTCTCTTTAAGACCACACGATTGAAATTTACATCTCTGGAGCTGGGGACTGACAGTTGGTGACCTGGCTGACAGTTGGTGACCTGCCTTGCTATTTGCTGCAGTGTTTATGTAGCCTAGCTCTCTCTACAGGAGATCTGGCAGCCCTCAAGACTTGAAGGACTGCTAGTGTCTCACAACTCTCTCACGGGAGTGAGTTGCACTGAGCCATTTGTACTGCTTTATAATTTAACTGTTCATTTCTTGTATTATATATCTGTATATAATTTAACAGTTCACTTCTTTTGTTATATATCTATCTTTATAAATAAATATATAAAATTATCATCAATCTGGTTTTATCTCTCTAGAGAACCCTCTCTAACACACATACCAAACCCCACACAAGAAAAGTATGCATAAGGGTGCCATTTAATTTCAGAAATAGAAAGGCAAACACCCCAATAGAATATTCAATAGTGAGTTCAATAGTGCACACAGGTGTGTAACGGCAATTTACCTCTGGAAAGTTATAACTAAACCCGTGAAAGACAGATCCTCAGATCTATGGGGAGCAGCCCACATGCACTTCAACGTGCAGAGCCACACTGGGCTCCTTGTTCTTACAGAAGGCAGGGCCGCCCTCCGCACTCGCTGCTCTCTGCGCCCAGGAAGCGCTTCCTACAGAGGGCTGAAAGTCTCCACAGGGGTCAGAGGCCAGTCTCAAGGCCTACCTTGGAGACCTTTAAATCACCACCCCTTAGCTCATTCACTCCCCACTCCTCCCTCTATAGCACTTGGTGGTATGTACATGGTTTTTCTCCCCTCTCCCTTCACCCGTACCCTCTGCCTCCAGGTTCAGGTGTGAGCTTCGCAGGGGCTTCCGTCTGCTCCCTGTCCTGGTTGTTTTTCTCTAGTCCCCCAAAGAGCAGGTGTCACCTGGCTGGTCCCGGTGAAGCACACAGCTCGGTAAGCCTGGGCACTGTGGTCACACTGAAGATAAGCTGGCTTCTGTCTTTTAGGACCGCCCTTTGTGCGCGTACCATTTGGCTTGCTCCTTGATGATGCGTGGAAGGGGCGGGAGTAGACAGGAGTCAGACGTCCATCATGTTCAGACGTTTTAAACAGTTTATGTTCCTGCGGGTCATTGCCGTAGCGTGCCGCTTTATTTCTAGACTTTGCCATGGAAATTAGCAACAGAAAGAAGGCCGGTTAGTTCTTGAAGGGAATTTAAATTCCGCTCATACTTAGATGCCACAAAATATTCGTGGGCCATAAGTAACCTAAAAAATGTGAATGTCGCAAAGTGGCAAGACTATTTTTTTTTTTAACTCAATTGGTTTCCAACATATTAAAACAAAAACAATGTTGAGGGTCTGTTTTCTTGGTGAGGAGCCAGAGAGCAAAGTGGCAGAAAGCAAGCCCACCCTGTCAGGGTAATTTTGGGGTCAACAAAGCTAAGTAGAGAACTAGGAAAGCTCACTTCTTTCCGGTAAAGTATCAGCACAATGAAGGGCTCGGTCCCTGCCAAACCTGCCCTGTTCGGTATTGGCATGCATCGGAGTTCACTCTGCTGTATGTGAATGCTGTAAACATCAAGTGAGAATTCAGGACACACAGCTCTTCAGAGCAGAGCCACCGCCTTCGGCATCGGTTGGTCGACGGATCCACAGTGCACGTGTGGCCCACAGGCAGATGGCCACGCACGTTCCATTAGGTGTGATGTCAGACACGCAATTGCAGTGTCTAGGGGGCCGGTAACGGAATTCTGCTCGCAGAAGCCGTGCTGCTTTCTGCTCTACTCTTTCTGGGCTCTAAGCTTCACCCAGCACATTTAAGGGCGTGAAGGCGCATCAGCACGGAGTCTACCGATCACCCTTCACCGTCTTGAAGGTTTGCAATACACTGGCTTCTTTCCACGTTCCTTGAAAAAGACACTTTGTGTCATCCTCTTTAGCCTTGGCTGCCAACTAGAGATGCTTGCCAAGGTGGCGTTGTGGAAGCCAAAGCGCCTCCGTTTTGACACTGCTACGGGATTTCCTAGCCAGAATCCAACCATCGCCCAAGTGGGATAAGGGAAAAGGAAGTATCTTATACTTGGCAAACCAATCCTTCCCCTCGCTGTCATCTCTACCCCCACACAGCAGCCACGACCAACCAACCAATGTGTGAAAACAGATAAAAACACTGCCAAAATCCTTGGGGGGGGGGGGTGTTTTTTCTCAAAATGGGGTGTGCTTACACTTCACACACACCAACAAGAGAGGGAAAAAAGAGGGTGAACTACGTGCTCGATGTGTTTTTTTGAAAAGTCTTATTGTGAACTGGGTGAAGGCAGCAGAGTGCTTTTTATAAAGTCAAATGTAGTCCACTGAAATGACTATCGTTTATTCTGAGATAATGTACTTCCTGCCCTTGGGGCGCGGAACGTCTTCTCCTCGGTACTGACTGCAGACAGCGGCTAGGACAACAGCCGGCAAGCGCACAAGCTCTCCCAATGAAAACAAGGGGACCGTATTTTCTATCTGTGGATCTACTGGTCCTGAAAACTTCACCTGGGAAACACGGGCCGAGACAAGGGCTTACTTCTGTGCCACACGTGAATTATTCCCAGGTGAGGAATACTCCAGAAGAGTTTTGTAGCGGGACAAATGCTACACCTTTGTGTACTTCAGGTCAATATGAACATGCCCTTAATATCAAGCACCAAAGAAATGGATTTTCAATCAACACCGTGATCATTTCATCTTTTATTCAACAAAGAAGAATGACCACTTTCCTTGGTCAGCATCTCCATGTACATTTTGGTCCATTTACTTTTATAAAGCGCCCCTTGTACCTCAAACTGAGCTCACAGCCATCGAGTGGATTCCAACTTCCAGGGACCCTGGAGGATGGAGTAGAACTGCCCCTGTGGGGTTCTGAGACTGTCACTCTGGCAGAGCAGAAAGCCTCATCTTTCTCCTGAGAAGTGGCAAGTGGGTTCGAACTGCTGACCTTGAAGTTAGCAGCCCCACATGTAACTCAAAGGTGCCTCAAATCATACCCTATTAGTTTTCAGTATTTAGATACACTCAACCCGAGAAGAAAGATGCATCAGAGGAAGGCCTATGTTAATGGGGTCTCATGTGTCAGGAACAATTTTCGTATAAATTACTTTCATGTCATTAAAATTACCTTTGAGAAAGAATAACTATGTAAATGAGCAAACTGAAACAGACTTTAGAAAACCTTACAGAGATCTAAGTGGATTTCAGTAGATCCTACCATCCAACAAATGAACGTTATCTCCATTCTTTCAAAGATCTGGGGGTAGGTGCACGCGCCTGTGTGTGTGTGTGTGTGTGTGTGTGTGTGTGTGTGTGTGTAGAGTAGCTGGCCATTACTCCTGTGCTTCAGAGAAAAGAGAAAGATAATGGTCATTTTGGACCAGGTGCAAGATTTGAGATTTGTGTGTGGATATTGTGATTTGCTGTGATTCTGTCCCCTTCTTGTTAATATTACCTGGACACCCATTAAACTTCAAAATAACTCCAGATAGTATCAGAGCAACTCCCAAAGTAGCCATGTTAGTAAGCAATTCAAACGACAACTGCAAGGTTAGGAGAGGAGAGGTGCAGTGCAGCACACATGCAGAGGCAGGGGCATCTGGCCAAGGTACTCGGTGATCAATGCTCAGTTCTTCTTGGCTTTCTTCAGATAGTGAGCCCGCGTAGCCTTGTTGATATTCATGATTATTTTAAAGTACATCCAAGAAGGCAGGAGTGAGATGAAAACATTCTACAAAGAGAAAGAAAAAGGTGAGAAATGTGACGGTTGCCTACATTGGAAGCATGCGATTGTGTTTCACTGGGGACCATCCTGGCTGCTACTGAGTGGGCTCTGGTGTTCCATGGGGTTTTCAAGGGCGGATTTTCAAAAAGGTGCCTCTGGGTAGACTTCAACCTTCTATTTAGAGGCTGAACACATGAGCCATTTGGAGCACTCTTGGGCTCCTGTTTTATTACGGTGTTTTTAGAGCTGTCTGGTGTACAGTTTAAGAAAATCACAACAAGGATGGCTTGTTAGTATGTTGAGACAAAGCCTGTACAACCAAAGCAAACCAAGCCCACACCACCGAGGTGATTCCAACTTCCAGGGACCAACAAGGCAGAGGAGAACTGCTTAAGACAGAGTTTTTGAGACTGTCATGAAATCTTGATGGGAGCAAACTGCCTCATCTTGCTCTGACAAAGTGGCTAAGGGGCTTGAACCACTGACCTCAAAGGTAGCAACCCAATGTCTAATCCACTGCCAACAAGTCAATTCTGACTCACATTGACCTTGTGTAGGGTTTCCGAGATTGGAAGTCTTCGCGGGAATAGATTGCCTCATCTTTCTCCCTTGGAGCCACTGGTGGGTTTGAACTGCTGACCTTGTGATTCACTTACCTGACAGTGCCACCAGGGCTCCTCACATATACCAGTGAATCACATACTCTTTTGTGACTTACTGGGAAAGTGGACATCCAAATCAAAGTATTGATTGAGGATTTAGACAAAACCCAACCCAACCCACATACCATGAGAGAATGGATCGGGTATCCATTGGTCCGGGACTGAAAGCCTATGGTTCGAATGGCAGCCTTCACATAAGTATCCGACGAGGGCTTGTCCAAAGTTGGCTTGCGGATTTTAGAAAGTTTCGTTGCCACGAAGTAGGGCAAGACACTCTGGAAAGGAAGCAACACCAAGACACGTCATTGAGCAGGAAGGCCACAGACCTCCAGAAGCCAGGGGTGCGTGGCTGCTCTCAGTGGGGACCGTCTGAGGAAATCCAGAAGGGGAAACGCTACAAGCAAGGACCCGTCAAATGCCAGCTCGGCAGCACACACGTAGCATCAAACTGGACCAAATCTATCAGTGAGCCCGGTGGGAGTTGAGGGCAGGCACGGAGGGTGAGCAGAATGCCTCCAGAGGGGAGGTGCTTTCTGCCCCAACTGACCTGCTCCCCATCACAGAGCCCTACCCCCTCCCCCGCCAAGGGGTGGGGTGGGCGTGCCTGATACGATCCTCTGGAGTTTTCTCAGACAAACAGCTCGTGGAGCGTGTCTGTCAGCCTTAGCCCCTCACAAAAAGGCTTTGGTTTCTGGGTCTTGGGTTACTGCTTTTCTTCCCTAGTCTTACCCTCCTGTTTGAGTTTACTACAAACTTTACAGTTGAGATGATAGTTTGACCTTCCTTCCAAAATTTTTTTTTGGGGGGCAGGGGAGAATAAAACAAGACAGAAACAGCTATGGTAAATAAAAACCCCAACGAGAGCCAGTTTATGGCAATCTGAGCCCTGCGGTTTACGGGGCATCACTGGGGTTCAGCTCCTCCTGGCTGTGGCGGTGTGTGCTTGGGGAGGTGTTTCCACGGGGAGGACGAGGGATGCTCCAAGAGGCTTCTTCTGTAGTTTGAAACAAAGAAACAAAAGCCCAAGACAAACAAGCAAATCCCCATTGGGGGTGGTGTGTGTGTGTGTCCCAGGCTGTCATCTGCATGGAAGCAAACTCCAAACTCCGGTGGGGAGCTGGGCGGGCGCAGGCTGCCAGTGTTGCTGCTTAAGGGCTCCGTCCTTGGACTCGGCACCACAGGAGGGGTGCGTACTCTGCCGCCTGCCCTCCATGGGCGGAAGGAAAAGGTGGAAGGTTGCAGGGCTACTTCTTAGTGGAGAGCGGTCAGCATTGGCTGAAAGCAAAAGCCCACTAGGGCTGCAGAGAGCTAAGCCGGGGCTGCAGCCTGGCGATGTCCTCCCTACTGACACCCAGAGTGGTCCCATGCCTTCTCCCTTAGGACCTGGACATGGTGAGGGAGGTCACCGTTTAATGGTGTTCCTCCCACCTCCAAGGCCGAGTCAAAACACACAAAGCACTCTCCTTCCCCGGCCGGTTGAAAGGTCAGCAACTGGTGCAGCGTGGGAACCCGGGGGTCTAACCACGGTCCCTCTCCACCCTTTCCTTCCCAGGCCGTGAACTGCAGACTGCCGCTGCCGATAAACCGTGCGGAACACTCTGCCCCACCGTCCTTTGGTACCTGAGCTAATTTCGAATACGTGGCTTTCTTTCTTTTTGGAGGAGACATTGATTGGAACTATCACTAGGCATCTTTCCATTTCATGAGTGATTTTTTTCTTTTGCCAGAAAGCCGTTTTCCTTAGAAAAGCATTTTGCTTCAAGATACACCCTTCAGTTGGCAGCTGGGCACTTAGCAACTGTGCCACCAGGGTTCCCTCCACATATGCGTGTACCCGCACACACACACACACACACACACACACACACACACACACACACAATTGTGCCACCAGGGTTCCCTCCACATGTGTGTACCTACACACACACACACACACACACACACACACCATCAGAGGGACCATTCTGATCCTGTGGAAGGATTCTGTTACACTGCCCAGAGGAACCACTTGGTGGCACCACAGGCTAAGCCATTAGTTTGCTGCACCCCAGAGGTGGTCTTGAGAAGCCTGGCTCTGGGGGTGGGGACAAGACATGTACACCCAGGGATGCCGAGTTATTATTATTATTATTTTATTCTCAATGAGTAGCGTAAATTTACTCAGGGAGGGGCATTTGGGGATGAATTCTTTCCAGGCCCCGGTGGAGGCTGGGAAGGATGCTGAGATGAAGGCAGAGCTTTCGGGCGACGTCTTCCGGGAAGGGGAGGAGGAGTTTGCCAGAGACACAAGTAATGGAAGACAGGTTGGGCTGATGAGAATGGCAGGGGTCTGAGTTTTCCAGGAACTGCTCAATAGGGTCCCAACGTGGCAAATTGGTGAGGCAGCGCCAGGGTGGAGAACAGAAACCTAAGCGGCAAGAAGTGAACAGAAACCTAAGTCGACTTCCTGGATGGCTGGGTCTCTAGCTGTAAGCTCCGGGATGCTGCACTCCAGTGCCAAGAGTGTCCCTGGCAACCAGGATGGGCTGATGAGTCATAACTGGATGACTGGGAAAAAGCTCACTTCCCTGTCCATGGTCTTGAGGAGCAGCACCAGGGGGCCTGGTCCACTGCTGTTGTCCAGGAAGGAAAAAGGACACCCAAAAGTTAAGAATCAACAATGGTGGCTAAGCCCCAAACTTGGATCTTTTTACGTTTATGTAAGATCCTGTATCGTCCAAACACATGCAGACGTAAGGGCTAGCTACTCGGCCAAGACTTGACAAAGGAACACAACAAAGCACAGCAATGTGTGTCAAACGGCATCTAGGCACACCCGTGCATGCCGTTGTTGCTGTCAGGTGCCGTCCAGTCAGTTCTGACCCACAGCACCCCCTGGGCACCACAGAAGGAAACACTGCCCGGTCCTGTATCACACTGGCCCCCACTGCTGCAGCCACTGTGTCGAGCTGTCTTGTAGAGAGCCTTCCTCTCTAGTCCTGCAAAGGCCCTAGCCCCACACCCGCAGAGTGTGTGTTAACACTCAAGGCAGGAAAGGCAGAGCCCTGGGACTTCTCAAAATGCACTCCTGGAACAGCCCCTAGGTCCTGGAGGCTGGATAGAGGCACTGGGAATTGTTGTGGTGGACGAACCCCAAGCTCCTAATCTAACGGAGCTGACATTCTAGCGGGAGGCAGGCGGCAAAGACGGTAACTAAGTCAGCAAAAAACACCCACAACTAGCAGGTGATGGTCAAGAGGATGAAAAGGGAAGAAAGAATGAGAAACCCGGGAGAGGCTGAGATGCTGGAAGCCTGGCCCTGTGGGCCCACTGACTGAGAGAGGCCTCGGACTCTGTGGGCGGAGCTCTCAATGAGGGCAGGAAGCTGGCGGAGAAGGGAAAGGGGGCTTGTAGACAGAGGGGTCAGCAAGTGAAGGCCCACAGGTGGGAGTGTGCTCAGTGCATCTGAGTAGCAGCCAGGAGGCCAACGGGGCCCGCAGCGCCCTGGGTCGGAGGGTAGGGCTACCAGGAGGAGTTCGTAGGCCAAGTAGTGGGAGAAGTCACAGGAGGGTGGCAGATAATGTGGACGGGTAGAAACCGGGCTGTGGAAGGAGTGGGCATCTGCAGGGGCTTCAAAGTCTGTAGGCAAATGGAATGAAAAGATCATGGAGTTTTGCAGAGGAATGAGAGGTTTTCTGCACCTGGTTTCCAACGAGCAGCTCTGGCTGCCATGAACAGACTATGGGCTGTTGGCAAGGGTCAGGAGCAGGGCCACTGTAAATGATAGGGGACATATACACGGAGCCCTGGTGGCCTCGTGGCTCTGCATTGGGCGGCGACCTGCGGGGTCAGCAGTTTGAAAGCAACAGCTGCTCTGCGGGAGAAGGATGCGGCTGTCCTCTTGCATACAGAGCCACAGCCACAGGGCTGTTCGGGCTAAGTAACGGGATGTTGCACAAAGTCCGGGGGACCTTGGAGGGCGTGGACAAGAGTGGTATTAGCGTAGGGCTGGAGAAGTGGTCAGAGGGTGGGTCTAGTTCAAGGACAAAGGGAAGTAAGTAAGGAGTTCTTGATGGATGGATCTCGGGGCAGGAGAGACAGGGGCAGCAGGTATTCAGGAGAACAGTATTGATATTAGTCTTGAAATCAGAGACTCGACTTCACATAAATTCCAGCTGCTCTTGAGTAAAACACTGACGGAGTCTCAAGCCCCCCCCCCCCCCCCTGCTATGATGGGGATTCAGTGAAGTAATGTAAGTCAAAGCAGTGTGAGTTTTTCTATGCTACCACATGTGTCCGGATGTATTTCCCATAGGTAATGTCTGTGTGTGTGGGGGAGCGACCGGGACAGCTCAGTCCTTCTTGGACACAGACTTGGGTGACCTCATGGACTTTCTAAGTTTTCAGTTCTGTAGTCTAAAACCGTTGCCAAGGGTCAAAAGAGAAAGACACTCTCCCTGAGAAAAATGGGGAGTCCAACAACCCCATCAGGACTAATTTTACTGTTTGTAAGCCATTTCTCAAAGTTCGCTCTGTGGCCCAGACATGAGCATTTCCTGGGAGAAGCTCCCTCCTCCTCAGCCTCCATGTGCACCGACGACAGGCTCCGTCACCTTCTGCTGTCATTGACAAGTCACGACAGCGAACGTGACTTTCCATCCCAGCAGCCATTTCTCAATGATTAGCTTTCTAGCTCTTTGAAGCCCAAGAGAGCTGTATAGTTACTGTAGGCAAGAAAGTATTTGAACAGAATCTATAAAAGAGGAGTATCTTCTTAAATCATATCGATAGTTTCAGGAGATTTAAAAAAAACTTGAATTTTGTTTTCTCCCTGTTTCATAGATGAAACCACTTATCATCTATGCTGATTAAAAACTGACATGTGACGGTATTACCAAAACTACTAACTCAACTCTCATTAAAGAGGACCATGGGACCAAAAGGTGATAAGGAGAGAGAGTGGGGCCAGAGGCAAATTCGGCTTCAGTGGACTATTGTGATCTCTTGGCCCAAATGAGAAAATCCACTTCAATCCCAAACCAGCGGCTGTGTTCTTCGCTGGGTTTGGGCTGTCTCTCTTCCCTGCATCTCATTTTTCTCCTGGTCAAGGGGGCAGAGAGAGCATTTCCAGACTCAGAAAGCACTGTAGCGCCAACTCAGACTTGGGAGGGAATTCTTCAAGCCCAGGCGGCAAACCGAGGTCGGAGAATCCCCCACAGGCCTGAAGACATCTCTCTCGGCTTCCTCATAATGAACGCTCTTTGGGTGCATCCATTGGTTCTGACTCACAGCGACCCTATGTACAACAAAAGGAAACAGCGTCCATCCTCACCCTGGTTGTGAATTACCACCGTCAGAAACAATGCTCTCCGCATCTGTTTCCTTACGCGTGGCCTGTCCTCCTCCGGAATGTAAATTCTATCACAGAAGGGACCCCATCTGTCTTCTTCGCTGCTGCATCTCCATTAGGCACCCTCTAGATATTTCTTGACAGAAGAAATGTGCAATACTATACACACACCTCCAGCTTTGTCCTTACTACATCCCGTCGTCGTCGTCGTCGTAACGTGTGTAACACCTGCCGTTTTTCTCCATGCACGCCTCTAGGACAGAGGCTGTTGCTTCCCACAGTCCAGCTAAGGACCTGGTAAATCGCAGGCACTTGCCGGCTGATAAACTGAACTGACCTGAGGCTAGTTACACGACTCCCATTGATCCCTGGCTTCCTATTTGTCAATTGGGACGAGGCGTGTCCATGGCAGTGAGACAGAAACAGGTGAGGATGTGGGAATAACACATGTCCAATAAGAACATTCCTTCCCTCTCTCCTTCATACATAGCTGTCATTCCACAGGGCACAGGGTTTCACATATGCCAGCACTTGGATCATCCCAGCTCGAAACGGCGAGTGGAGCAAGGATCTCCAGAAAGGGGGACAGTAAGGCTCCAGGTGGTGAAGCCACTTTCTGCAGGTCGGACAACGGTGGAGCGGGGAGGTGGGAACAAAACTCAGGCCATCTGCGCCCACGCTCTACATTCTTCCTTCGCTGCCTGCAGGGACACCAACGCAGAGGGGTCTTCACAGAGCCAGCCAGGATTCAGCAAGACTGGCCAGGCTGTAGCAGCGACGCCTTAAACACCTCTGCTGGCGCATCGAAAACCTCTCCAGGTCAGGAAGGTGTGGGAAGAACCACCAACGGGTAGAGGAGCACATCACAAGGGGCATGGCATCGACCCGGCTTTGTGTCAGCGGAGGAACAGAATGAATGCCCTGATGGGAGAGTCAACCTGGGCGTCAACAGGGGCAGATGCCCCGAGGGGGACACGGAGCCACACCTGCACTGCTCTGGCCGAGGAGGAAGAACCCCCATTTAACCCTGAGCAGATAGCAGAAGAAGCGTTTTCCACATTCAGACATGGGAGGGCTGTCCTTGTAAACGCTGTCAGTGTGGTAAAAGGCCATGGAGCAATTCCAGCTCAAAGGGGCTGAGGGCGAGAACCAGTGACCTCAGACAGAAGTTGGTCTCTTACCTGCGAGAGCGCAG